TCCCCACCAACGCCCAAGTGCCGTCAATTCAAAGGGTTCCCCACACTATGCGGGAGGTAACATTCAGGCATAAGACCGTAAGACGAGTGCTCTTGTCGCTCGACATCAACAAAGCTTCTGGTCCGGACTTGATTCCTGCCATTGTACTGAAGAGATGTGCAGCTGAGCTTGCTCCAGTTCTTTCGCGTCTCTTCCAGATATCTTATGAATCCGGCACCTTCCCAGAAAACTGGAAATTTGCTCATGTACAGCCCATCCCAAAAAAAGGATCTAAAACCGACACTTACAACTACAGGCCTATAGCTCTGCTTTCTGTTATAAGTAAAGTGATGGAGAGGTGCATAAATCGCGAGCTTCTGGACTACCTCGAACGTCACAGCTTGATTAGCGACAGGCAGTACGGTTTCCGGCACCAACGACCCACAGGGGACCTCCTAACTTACGTCACGCAACTGTGGAGTAAACTCATCCAGTCTCATGGTGGGGCTCATGTCGTTGCTCTTGACATCACGAAAGCGTTCGATCAGCTGTGGCACGCTGCCCTCTTGAGCAAACTTCCATCCTACGGCCTCCCAGAAAAGCTTTGCAGATGGGTGGCTGACTTTATCTCTGGCCGCAAGATATCCGTCGTAATTGACGGATTCTCCTCTTCATCCCACAACGTCAACGCGGGTGTTCCCCAGGGATCGGTCTTGGCTCCAACACTGTTTCTCTTACATATCAACGACCTCCTTTCCTGCACGATCAACCCAATCCACAGCTTCGCTGATGACAGCACTCTACATGCAGGAATTCAGAGTGACAAGCCGATCTCTGCCGCTGAGCTGGAAAAAAGAAGACTAGCGACGACTTCTTCTCTGACAAGAGACCTGGAGGCTATCACTGCTTGGGGACGCAACAATCTTGTACAGTTCAATGCTTCCAAAACACAGTACTGTACTTTGACGAACAAAAAGCGTCCTAGCGCTCATACAGTTTCGATGGACGGTCGAGTTCTACCAAAGAGCCATTCATTTCGGCTGGTCGGAGTCCAGATCACCGAGGACCTGATCTGGCACGAACACATCTCTTCAATAGCTGCAGCTGCTGGGAAAAAGCTAGGCTATTTGTTTAGGGCTAAGAAGTACTTTTCTCCGCATGACCTTCTCACTCTATACAAGGCCCAGATAAGGCCTAGCCTCGAGTATTGCTCACACATTTGGGGTGCTGCCGCCCCGACTACATCGTCCATGCTCGATGCTGTCCAGAGGAGGGCGGTCCGACTGATCGATGACTCTTCTCTAACAGACAGTCTCGGGACTCTTTCGCACCGGCGGGTCGTCGGCGATCTAGCTCTTTTCTATCGCTACACCAACGGGCTTTGCTCCTCAGAGCTCTCTTCCATGATGCCGCCGCGCGATGTGCCTGCCAGACAGACCCGCCTGACTTCGGCGTCTCATCCTAACCGTGTCAAACTTCGTACATCCAGAACTGACCGATACGACCGCTCCTTTGTCCCGAGGGTGTCTAGATTGTGGAGCAAACTACGGGAGGAAGCTTTTCCCAGTTCTGCTAACCTTAGGCAGTTCAAAAATCGTATTAACAAAATTTCTTTGGGATCATTATAGCAGCCGCGGTGTTCCGGCATTTAGGCTTCTGCCTGCGCGGCTGTTTCGATATATAAAAAAAAAGTACCCTTGAGCATGGGGTATAAATTACGAAATGTAATTATAGCCTTTGTTCTAATCGATTCTACATGAGGTTTCCAAGTTAGACACGCGTCGATTGTTAGTCCTAAATATTTTGCTTGATGTGCCCAGGGAATTCTTTGGTTACAAATAGTTATTTCGGCTGGTAATTATTGTCGTCTTTTAGTCTTTAAAATTGCCTGGGTTTTTTCAGCGTTCAATCTAATTCTCCAACGGAGACACCAATTCTGCTCTACAGCCTCTTGCAGTCGGTCTCCAATTTCTTGATTGGAGACAGACCTAGTTATCAGTGCTGTGTCATCAGCGTACAGTAGTATGTCTGTGTGAGGTATGTGAGGAATATCTGCAGTGTATATAATGTATTGTGTCGGAGCCAGAACAGAGCCTTGTGGAACACCTGCTCGGATACTTCTTAAAGAGGAAAGTGATGTTTCTATTTTAGCAGTTTCACTAACCAAAATGGACATTGAAATTCAATTAGCTTATAAATTAAACCCTGATGCCAGACCTTATCGAATGCTTTGGCAATACCCAGCAGTACAATACCTGAGTTCTGATTATTGACAAACCCACTAGTAATCTTTTCTATCAGCCTTACTGCCTGAAGTTATGTACTGTGCTCTTTGCGGAATCCAAATTGTTGGTCAGGTAGTACCTGCTTTTCCAAAAGAAAATCTTGTAACCGCACTGATATCACTTTTTCAACAATTTTGCTTACTATAGACAGGAGGCTAATACGTCTATAGTCTTAGGAATAAGTATTATATGAGCTGGAAAGTACTGTTGTCTGAGAATTGCATTGACAATACTTAACAGGTATTCTAAAGATCCAGTCTGTAAAAGTTTTAAGGCCTTCACTGTAATATAATCGTCTCCAGGAGATTTTCTTAATTTGGTGTCTTTGATATATCCTATCAACTCATCCAAAGTACAAGGAGGTATTTGGAATGGGGTCTGACTATCTCTCTGGACCCGACTAAAGTAATTTTGAATGGATTATTCAATGCGGATAGTATTTGTAGAATCAAAATCTTCATTTCAGCTTTTTCTTGATTTGTATAAACAAGATCATTTGGACAGTTTATAGGACGAAACTTTTGTTTTGTGCCGTGCGTAAGTGATTTAGCAACTCTCCAGAGCGGCAGGCCAGACTGTAACATGCCTGGAATGCATGGAAGTTATTCCACTGATCGTTTTTGTGCTCAAAATAACATTTCTGGCACAATGAACTAGGTTGTTCGCTATTCTGATATCATCAGGGTGTCCAATTGTTTTAGTTTTTTTGATTGCACGGCGTCTGATGGTAAATGTGGTCTAAATTGTTTATTGGTCGTAATAGTGGCTTCTTGTATGGCAGATTGTACCGAATTTGTCCAATGAAATTATTATTATCAATTATATATAACAAAATAATAAACGTAATCTTGACGTCCAGCAAGTGACGTCTGCCATATGACGTCATCACTATGTGACATTAGGAGGTCATTTTCACGTTACTTTTATGTCAATCAACTCGTCATTTCATGATATGTTTGCAACGCCATTCTCACGAGCTTGTGCTACCGGGGAAATGTCAAATTGCGATTTTTCACGTGAAAAACATGTGGAATAGTACATGAGGCCCGATTAAAAAAGTAGCACGTTGTGAGAAGTTGCAGCATACGGCGAAGGAAAAGTGTACAAACCGCTTAATTACTTAAGTGTAAAACTGCAACAAACCAGCGGTATGCAGTCACCCCGGCTGCGCCATTATTCTAGACCACGTCTAACAATGGCGGCTTTGTGAAAAGAACAACCAAGAACAATGCGAGCATAAAGCCGGAATTTCAGCTCCTGAAAACTCAATGGGGGCACTTTGGGGAGACTCTGTCAGACATCCTGCATGAAACTGCACATATGAGGTTCATCTAGATTATTTAAACATTTAAAACCAGCATGGAAATTGTATAGTTAGTTATCTTTGGAGAGTTCAAAAACATACAGACATATTTCCAGGTCTTTGACGAGCTATTTTTAAATATACAAATTTTTATTCGCGAATGCTTAGATTTATACCTATAATGAGCAAATTTTTGTAGAATACGGAAATCTGACATTATTTTTTTATATCGAAGCAGCCGCTAAGTCAGAAGCCTAAATACCAGGGCACCGTGGCTGTTATGGGGAGCTTAAAGAGAGTTTAGACCTGCCCAAGGCTAGTAGAACTGGGAAAAACATCCTCGGGCAGATTGTTCCACAATCTCGACGCCCTAGGGATAAAGGAGCGGTCAAATCGGCCAGTTCTGGATGCTGAAGTCAGACGGTTCTGACAAATTGGTTAAGACTTTCGCGGACAGTTGATAAACTGCTGTCTTGATTCGGGTCTAAAGGCCATCGTCGGCTGGAATTTCTTCCTCACGTTTCTCTAGCACGAGTGGCAAGCTTCTTCAGAGGTCCTTCCATTGCCGATGCTGGATGTAGACAGTCTACTGAAGAAGCTTGCCTTTAGACCCGAATCAGACGGTTCTGCCTGGCAGGCATATCGCGCGGCAGCGTCATGCAGAACAGTCAGAGGAGCAAAGCCCATTGACATAGCGGTAGAAGGGAGCTTGATCGCTAACAGCTGGTCTGTGTGAAAAGGTTCTGAGAAGAGCGGTCGATCAATCGGACAGCCCACCTTTGAACAGCATCGAGCATAGACTGTGGTCGAGGCGGTAGCAACCCAAACATGTGAGCAGTACTCGAGGCTGGGCCTTATTTGAGCCTTGTACAGAGTGAGGAAGTTATGTAGAGAAAATATCTTCTTAGCCCTAAACAAATAGCTCTTTTTTCCCAACAGGTGCCGCTGTTGACAAGATGTGTTCGTGCCAGATCAAGTCCTCGGTGATCTGGACTACGACCAGCCGAAATGAGCAGCTCTTTGGTAGTACTCGGCCATCTATCAAAGCGTATGAGCGCCAGAGCGCTTCTTGTACAGGTCGACAAGAGTAGCTAGAGATGTGAGATGCGCAAACGACGGAGTGAGAAAGCGCTATAACTGAGAGAAACAATAATAGCCAACGAATGTAGAAGTACAGTCGACGCGCCAAGTTTTTTCACAGTAGGCAAACGACTGTTATTTGATTTTCTATGATGAAAGAAGGTTGAAAGGTTGTTTTTCACTGCCTTTCACTGCGGTTTTAGAAGCAGTCGAAATCAATTCATTTGCCTAAAACTTTGAAGATTATCTATATTTTTTTAATCAAAGACTATAAAAGTATATGAATAGTTTAAGCTACTCTTGCTAAACATTTACACAATTTGGCAAATTCAGCTTGAGCTGTGACGTGATGTTTACGGTGCAACCTGTTTTTCCCATCTTAAACTGACGTTGCTAGACTGTACATCCAAAATTCCGCTAGATTCCCCTTCTGCTTCATCGCTCCGTTCTTCGGCATCTTCATCTTCAGTTTCGGTCTCGAGAAAGTCGCTATCACTGTCAACTTCATTTAAATGGATAACAACTTCGTCTACAACTCTATCAACAGCGAGATCTTGCTGCATAAACTCTATCTCAATTTTTTTTGCATGCTCGCACCTAGTTTTCCATTCTACGGGCGTAAAGTTATTGAAAAACGCGTCGCACCATTTTGAAACGGTAGAAAACTTGAAATCGACATTTCTGGCTGCTACGTAAGACTTCATTGTTGCCCACGCGAGTTCTATTGCATTTAAATCGGGGTGGTAGGGTGGCAGTCATGGAACATCGTGGCCAGTATCATGAAGAATCCGATCTATGGCAAATTTTTTATAAGGTGGCTTATGCAATTTAATCGAATTGTAAAGTTCTGGTTTAAGCATTTCATCTGTAAAAAAAAATATTCCTGTCACGAAGCCAGATCTTCATTTCAGCTTTAGCGGTTGAAGATGTTGGACATTTGTCTATCTGTTTATTGTGGTACGGCGCATTATCTATAACAACCACACTTCTGGGAGGTAGATTTGGAATTAGTTTTTCTTTTAGACACTTTTTATAATTATCAAAATTCATTTCATTATGATAATCTCCTGTGCTACATGTAGATTTCCATCTTACGTACGCATTGGGTATAAATCCATTCTCACCGCCAGCATTGAGTATGATCAGCCTTTTTCCTTGGATATTGGTTTCTTAATGCAGTCTGTGGAGTTATCTACCCAGCTTTTGGTATGTGTATGCGAAGAATATATATACGTTTCGTCAGTATACACCTTAGGAAAAACCATTGTTATACATGGGAAATCATTTCTTGGCAACAGCGCATCGGCTCGTCTACTTTCATCGCTATTCGTACATATTTCCTACCGTTAACCGCAGACCTGTATCACGAATGAGAATAATAGGCAGATACGCTGTGTTGCCAATTTGAGTAGAGCTTCCCGAATTGTGGGGAATTTAGAGTTAAGTGTTGATTCATTCAAGCTTTTAATCAGCATGGCCTAGACGTTAGAACTTCATAAAGATAACATTGAAGCTGAATGCTGCTGGAGTATAGTGTTTCGAATATTCAAAGCGGAGCGGGACACTATACTCGTTCAATGGGTCATCAAGCCACAGTCTTTTCAACAAAGAAATTATTTTACGAAAATGCGTCATATTTTTACGATTTTGTCGTCACCAAATCTCTGTTTCTCAAAATGTACGTCTATTGTAGAATTTTCAGCAAACTAAGCAAGAAACGTGATCTAGTATTTACTCAACATTACGGATTTCTCGAAATACATTAAAAAATGTGACCTAGATATCTAACTGCCCCAAGCTCTTTAAATATAACACCTTAAACCAGGGTTACCAGGTGCTCAGTCACGTTGATTGTCATGTTGTACTGCGCAAGTCAGCAAACAATCTGGCGTAATTAACGTTAGGAATCATCAGGTATTGCCAGATTCCCGAATACCGGGCACCATAGTAACCGTTATAGTTTTCCTTCAAAGTTGTCAAATCGCCCCTATGGCGCAAATTCGCCACACCAGGCAACTGTGCTATAAACAAACCCTGTTTATCACTACTATTTGATAGTCATATGGTAGTTGTAGCCCTATCTAGCGGTCCATGATTTCTCTCAATACTGTTGTATCTCTACTGGCAACAAGAATAGGGATTTCAAAATCATTTATACAACAATATACAAACATGGAAAATATGATTTGAACCATGAAACATTAATACAATTTTAATAGTTTGAACTTTTTTCACTTTTCGAATACTCTTATGTGGAATCCGCAGCTGTTTTTCCCGAAATTTGGGTAGACTTAGATTTCTTAGAAATATGACATATTGGTATCGGCAACTCTGCGAATGGGAGAAACAAATCGCATTTGTTGAGCGCATCCGTATAAGCGGTAGGCGCCAGCGCCCGTTCTGCCATCTCTCTCTTTTATCACTCTTCTACTTTACCCCGTTGTCCGTCACACTCCGACGGTGCCAGATATGATCCTACAATCGAGTGTCTTTCACGCACCTACATACTTTTGTATATTTCCATCTCTCTTCCTCATCATAATGTATAATAATTGTTTTTCCCAAGGTGTATATTACTGGGCGGACTTCTTTTCTATATTTCGCCATTTTCCTTAAAAAAAAACAATCCGTAAATGGCGAATCTCTGCCTTTTCTATTAATAGTTTTCTATTGGATTTGAATTTATTCCACCTGAATCCCAATTTGTGTATTTCCTTGCGTAGTGTTTCTTTACACCCTTTGGAATTGGCAACATCGCGCATTTTTCTGTGTATACAGAGCAAGGTAGGCATGCGCTTCTCTGTTATATGGTAGTTGATGATCCGTAAGAGCCCTTGGTCAAAACCATCAAGAGCCACCTTAGTTTTGATGTTCGTTCTCTTTGGTTTTGGGAATGAAACTGCCACATGCTCTTTTATATTTCGCGCTTCTTTTTTTTACACGCCTTATGGAAGACAGGCTCACCCCTGTTGCGGCAGAGACACGTTCTTGTACCTAGAATTTACAATAGTATTGCAAAAATGTATTAAACCATATTTTACAGACCGAATGAGCATAATTATGAAGGCCTTACTTTGTCTATAGGAACAGTCACTCCATCTGTTGCTTCCTTTTGCATGAATTCTAAGGCTATAATTTCTCGATTTTGATGACTCAGAACCTTGTTTCTAACTTTGCTATTCATCGCGAATCTGGCAGTATAACAACATTTATGTACGCGCCTAAAATTTTTATTCGGACTGTACCCACGATGTGCCGTCGATCGCTGCTGCTTACGAAATCGAAGAATAGCCAAACAGTAAGTCAAGGCACAGTACTGAGTTTTGGAATCATCAAATTGTATTGAATTGGTGCGTCCCCAAGCAGTGATAACCTCCAGGTCTCTTGTCAGGAACGAAGTTGCTAATATTCTTCCTTTCTGGAACTCACTGACTTTTTATGATCGGCTTGTCACTGAATTCCTGGATGAAGAATGTAATAAATGTATTATTTGTAATTTATTTTAATAAAGAGGGTTTATCGTTATTATTATTTTCATGCTGGTATCACTCCATGACTGACCTGCCAATTGAAGTAACAGTTAACGTATTCGTCAGTAAAACATGGAATGGTCTTTGGTGTCGACATTATACTTTTTTTATCAACTTTACTGGACAAAGCTTTTTGAAAAGATGGTTGAATCGTTCGATATGAACAAGACGATTTTGTTATGACACCTGAATATGAAAAGCATATACATTCGCATCTGATGGGAAAAAGTTCTGATTCAGATTTTTGCATAATCTTATTCAAGCGAATAAATTGAAGAATCTGCGTGTTTCCAGGCTCAAATTTTCGTCAACAAATTTTCTAACAATTTTTTAACCTTAGGTCAGTCGCGCGGGTGACAATCGTCACCCACTTTCATTTAATATGCCACTATTTAAATGTTTCAGCTCACTTGGCAACATCGCACCGAGTATCTTTCATGTTATGATAGATGTCTGTGCCGTCAAATATTTAGTACGGCTTGTGCGTGTTTAGTGGAGATATCGCTGACCAAAGCTGAGTGGTTGACAAGTGTCCCCCGCGCGACCTTCTACGTTGTTAAATTATTATTAAGGTGTTGTTGTACTGTGGCAAAGGTAATTCAATTTTTAATATTTTTTCTCCCTATGCTAAGGTACTTTTGCTTTAGGTATTTGGAAGTAGTAGCAAGGCTATGTCTGAACAGAAAAAAAGAAAAGTAGAGACCAGTAATGATCCCAATGTATGGCTGAAGTGGTACCATGAATTAAGTGATGAAAGCGATCTGAGTGAAAGCTCTAAGGATGAAGATGAAAGTGACAAAGAGAAAGAAAATATACTGACAGAGAGTGAGCATAATACAGAATCGGAACAAGAGGTTGCGGAAAGTGAAGAAGTTAAAAGTGACGAAAACGTGTCTAGATTCTTCTAGTTTCTACATTGGGACGGACAAAATAACGAAATGGAGAAAAGCGAATCCTCCAAGAAATGTGAAAACAAGGTCCCATAACATTATTGTTCATTTACCAGGACCCAAAGGTAAAGCACGAGAAGTGAAACAGAAGTAGCAGCTTTAGAACTCTTTTTAGACGACAATATTCACAAAACAATTACAGCGTGCACTAATATTTATATAGAGAAAACACGTCAAGAATTTACAAGGGACAGAGATGCAAGGAGTACTGATGAGATAGAAATAAGGGCATTTATTGGATTGTTGTTCCTTATAGGCACCATGAGATGTTCTCGTAAAAATATTCATTTACTATGGGATAACTCCAAGGGAAATGGCATTGAATCATGTTATCTTACTATGTTGTACAAGTTGTAGATAGTATGAACTCAATACTGGAAATTCTGTATAACTGGTTATGTGTGAATAGGCTTAAGTTGAATGTAGAAAAAACAAAATACATGGTTTTTGGGACAAAGCAGAACTGTAATACATTTTTAGGAAAGAAATTTTGTATTGAGACAGATAATATTCAAATTGAAAGTGCATCTAGTATGAAGTATTTGGGCGTAGTTTTAGATCCTCAGCTACATTTTTCATTGCATGTTGATTATGTTAGTAAAAAAATTGGGAAAAAAATAGGATTTTTTAGGCGAATATCTGAAAGTCTTAGTCACTGGAGTCGTCTTCTTGTATATAATACCATCATATATCCACATTTTAATTATTGTTTTTCATTGTCGCTATCATGCAAAAAAACTGATATTCAAAGGCTCCAGTTACTACAAAATAAGGCTATGCGCACTATATTATTTTGTACACGTTATACGCCTATTAATTTAATGTTAAAAACCCTCGGATGGCTTTCAATACAGCAAAAGGTTGAAATGTCAAATGTCTTATTTATTTTTAAAACAAAAAATCATTTATTGCCTGAATACTTGCAGGAGTATCTAATACCGAGGTCCGAGAGGCATGCATATAATATCAGGTCACGTAACACTTTTGACATAGAATTCGCTAGAACATCCCATATGCAAAAATGTCTTTTTAGTGATGGTTTGAGACTTTTTAATGCATTACCTACAGAAATTAGAGAGGCGACGTCTGTAAATATATTTATTCGTAAGGTTAAGCAATTGTATTTAGATAAAATGGCATAATATATGTACTTTCTGTGTTGAGATAACTGTATGTCATTATCTCGCATTTGCTATTGTTGCATTTACTGTGGTTGCAGTTACTATGATTTTAAGGGAATCTAGAATTACTGTTTTTTTGTTTATTACTGGAGTAAGACACTATTATAAACTATAGGAAGTAGCTTTAGGGCTAAGAATAATAAACATTTCATTTCATTTCATGAGTGAACAAAGGCTCCGTTTCCTTTTGAGATGTTTGAGATTTGACAACATCAATGACCGTAACATGCGCAAAGAACTTGATAAAATGGCAGCAATTAGGAAGTGTTTGAACTATTCACCAATAATTTTGAGAAATATTTCTCACCGAGTGAATATCTAACTATAGACGAGCAATTGCTTGCGTTTAGAGGTCGTGCAGCTTTCCGCCAGTACATCCCCAATAAGCCAAGTAAATATGGCATTAAAACATTTGCTTTGGTTGATGCTAAAACAGCTTATACTATGAAACTGGAAACGTATGTTGGATTGCAAGCTCCAGGTCCATATCAGCAAAGTAACAATGCCAAAGATATTGTGATGAGGATGGTGGAACCAGTTCAGGGTACAAATAAAAACATCACAGGAGATAACTGGTTCACTAGTATTCCATTAGTCATTGAACTGCTGACTGAAAAGAAATTAACATACGTAGGTACTCTCAGAAAAAATAAAAGAGAAATTCCTAAGGAGTTTCTTCCCCAAAAAGACCGGGATAAATTTACTTCAATTTTTGGATTCCAGGAAAACTGTACAATTGTTTCTTACTGTCCACAAAAGAATAAAGCAGTTCTAGCAGTTTCTACCATGCATCACGATAGTGCAATCAGTGAAGACACAGGAGAATATCAAAAGCCGGATATTATAACATTTTACAACAGTACCAAGATTGGAGTAGATTTAGTAGACCAAATATGCCAAAAAAATAATGTAGCAAGAAATACGAGACGTTGGCCTATGGTTGTATTTTATAATTTATTGAATGTTTCCGCTGTAAATGCTATGATAATTTATAAGCTCAACAAACAAATCGAGGGAAAATTACGCCGAAGTGAATTCTTGCAAAGCTTAGCATGGGATATGTTGACACCACAAATAAAACGAAGAGCTTACATTTCACAAATTCCGCGGGAACTTCGCCGCAGGTCAATGGTATTGCTGGGTTTGGAACCCTCAACTTCTGTAGTTGAACAAAGAGATCGAAGAGGAGCAAGAGGGCGCTGTTACTACTGCGGAAGAGCACGAGATAAAACAACTAGAAAACTTTGCGCGCAGTGTCAAAATTTTACTTGCAATGACCACCTAAAAGAAATTTGTGTGCGATGTTATGAAAACAACGACTGAAGTAGTAATTCACAGTTATCTTATGTTTTAAATATATTTTGTTGCTAAAATCAACCTACATTTTATGTCAAGGCTTATAGAGAATATCTTGTTTCTTATTTAATAAATATTTTTGGAAAAATCTTGTATAGGTTGTTTTTTAGGATGGTTGACACTTGTCACCCACGCGACTAATAATGTGCGGATAAGAGACGCGACTAACCTAGGGTTTTAAGCGAACTCTAAAAATAGTTTTTTTTTTCTCCGGTCAAAGCATTTCTGTTTTTTTGGACAGTCTCAACAGAAATGAACTTTAGAACTTTTCTCTAAAATTGATAGTTTTCGAGATAGGCGATACAATATCTTAAAAAAATGCGAAATATGCTATTTTCAACCCCGCAACATGCAAAAAATTTCAATGCTGTCGATGTTTCTTAATATTCTTCAAACACCAATTAACAAAATTCCAAAGCATTCCAGCAGAATGTATTGTTATTAAAAAACAAATTTCTACAATAATAATACATCTTTTAGTGATTTGAGATTTTTTTAATGGATGTTTGGAAAATATTTAAGAAGATTTGCTAGATTAAATTTTTCGTTTTTTCATATTTTTCGGGGTCGAAAATGGCATAACTCGCACTTTTTGAATTATTGCATGGCACTATATCTCAAAAGGTATTAACTTTAGAGAAGAGTTCTAGGAAGATATTTTTGTCCAGAATTTAAAAAAACTTTATCGGAAAGACCGTTTTGGAATTTGTTTACAGAAAATTGTTAAAAAAATGTTTGACGCAAATTTGAACTTGGCAACATGCAAATTCATTAAAAGGAACTTTTAATGGCTTGTTCCTAGTTGCCTGAACATGCAAAGTTGCCCCTATTTAAACAATAGTTACAGCCGAATTTGAAACACCTGCCTTTGTCCCGAATCTCCAACATAAAAAAATACTTTTTTTGGAGGGATGTTTTTTGAATTTGTTTAAAAAAATTACCCGAAACATGTTTAACGCAAATCAAGACCTGGCAACATGCAAATTCGTTAAAAGGGATTTGAATGAGATTATGCGGGAATATTCTGGTCAGAATATTTTTCCCATCAGATGCGAACATTTCTGCTGAACAACTATTGGATACCAAATTGTGATGTTATTACAGGTGGACATTCCAGATTTGATCTGGTATGCAGTGGCGGAAATTGGCCCGTTCGAAGATCACATCCGGTCGGTCGCGCACGCGCATCATGCTCTGCTGTGGCCGCAGGAAGGTAAGAAACATTTTATTCTGGAAAAAACTATTTATGAAAAATGTATGACTAAGTCAGGGTAGGTAAATAATTATAATTAAAGACTCCGGCTGTATCTTATCAACTGCTCATCCTAGATGCCGCTCAAGCAGAGTGGACAAGTTTTGTTCAGCAAGCTCTGCAGCGTGCAGCTGTACTTCCCGTGCAGCGACACGGCATACTTGTTCTGCCAGCAGACATTCGTCAGAAAATTTCTGATAAAAGGGCTGCAATTAAGCAAGCGAAAAGGTCTTGTCATCCTGATGACATTCGCAGAGCAACGAATCTTGTTCATAAAGTAAGAAATGCTCTTAATGGATTCCGCAATGATCAATGGAACGACTTTCTGGCGGGGATGCTTGACTCAAGCATTCCTCTCTGGAAGGTGGCGAAGTCGCTCAAAAACGGAAAGCGTGAACAAATCCCACACATCCACGGTCCTGGAGGCATTGTCTTCTGGACAGAGGAAACGCTTGAGGTTTTCGCCGATGCCATGAAAAGACAGCTCTCTCCCAACTATGATCTTGATAATGACCTCGACGAGAAGCAACACATCGTAGGATCTCTCAGGAGATATTTTAGGGCCAACGGCGTTAGTGGCAGTCGAGCTACCGTTGGTGATTTTTCTTCATCAGAAGATTCTTCTTCAGAAGCTTCTTCAACCGAAGATCTGCTTAGCACATCAGCGGTATCTCCCGAGATCCCGCATTGCACACCAGCAGAGATTCAACGTCATATTAAAGACCTTAAAGTGCGTTAAGCACCAGAGAAGGATCAAATCACTAATAAGGCGCTGAAGCTGCTTTCGCGGAGGTCCTTAACTTATCTCGTGGCAATAGTCAATGCCATGCTGAGGATCCAATCCGCGTGGAAGACCGCTGAAGTTATAATGATTCCGAAGAAGGTGGGTTCGATATTTCCCCAGGATTATCGTCCAATTAGCCTGCTGTCAGCTCTGTCTAAGCTCGCTGAAAAGGTGATTCTACGTCACCTTGAGAATTTCTCGTCAGATCACCATGTGATTCCAGACGTGCAATTCAGCTTTCAGTCTGAGCATGGTACGGCGCTACATGCGGTTAGGCTGGTGGAACGAGTAACCAGAGGATTCACCCTTAACGAAAGTACTGGTATCTTGCTTTTGGATGTCTCAAAATCATTTGACAAGCTGTGGCACGCGGGACTCCTGTATA